CGAAACCTACGGCGGTAAAATCGACGACCAAGGCGATTTCCAGCAACTCGAAAGCCTCGTGAACAACTTCCTCACGCCAGCCGCCTTCGAAGAAGACTACAACATCGTCTCTGGCGTGCAGGAGCAGGACGATTCTCTTATCCTACCTGGTGAAACTGGTATCCGTGACTTTATGGAATGGGTCAACCAGCTTCCTGAGAGAGAGCCCCCGACGTACCTTGGACTGCCGGCGAACGCGGAGAAATTGTTGCTTGTGGGGCATGGTACGGCGATGATTGATGATTTGGCGAGGGTTACGACTTTGTTGGATGAGGGAGAGCAGTTGATGATTGATGCTTAGTGGCTTGTTTCTTAGATGCATATTTTGTTCATTTCATGTATATCATAGAAGTCACTTGTAGACAATTTATCTTTGCGTGATCAACCAGTGCCGGTATCGTAGCTTGTGACTTTGGGAGGCGCGCGCGGACGGTCCGTGTCGTAGTGCTTGACAAACTGAAATAAGAGATCATTATCAACATTCTCAAGCGCCCTGATGGTAGTGTGTGCTATAGATTAGTAGGTCGGCGCTTATTGTCGATGATCACCAGATATTTAAATGTAACTAAACCTTGCCGCCCGCTTTATTCCTCAACTGCTATATAGTCCCCCAACTCTGATTATCATGCCTTCTTCCAAGCCTTATCCCCCTCCCCTCGTCATCCCCCTCTCAGGCATGACCAACATACGCACACAGTCATCCTCCTCCACGGCCGCGGTAGTAACCGCGAACGCTTCGGCCACGTCTTCATCGAATCAACGGGCATCGCGAAGCGCCTCCCAACGACCAAATCCATCTTCCCCACCGCGAGAAAACGCCGCTCTACAGTACTGAAACGGATCCCTATCAACCAGTGGTTCGATAATTACTCGCTTGAGGACCCGAACACCCGGACAGAATTACAGCTTGATGGACTAGAGGAAAGTAGTGAATTCCTTCGGGGATTGATTGATCAAGAGGCGGGGCTCTTGTCGAATGATTCTGCTGTTAGCGATGAGTATGGTCGGGTCGTGATTGGGGGGTTGAGTCAGGGGTGTGCGGCTTCTGTGTTCTGTCTTTTGGGAGGATTTCTTTCTGCGGGAGGAGGGAGTAAACCGCTTGGGGGGTTTATTGGGATGAGCGGGTGGTTACCTTTTGAAACGGAAATTGCTGGGTTGTTGAAGACTGACGAAGGCGATCAGGGAGAATCGGGATCTGAATCAGAAGCTGAAGAAGACGATGACGACCCGTTCGCCCACGATACAGATAGTGAAGATGTCCCCTTGCACATCCAAGCAGTCAATCATATCCGGGATATTCTCGGTATGCCACCCATTCAGTCTGACGCTGATTCAGAGAATGCATTGCGTGCGTCCTATTTAGAAACACCGGTATTCCTGGGCCATGGGTCTGCAGATCCCAAGGTATCGGTAGACTTGGGGCGACGGATGGCGTCCATCCTATCTGATGGATTTGGGATGGATGTGACGTGGAAGGCATATGAGGAGTTCGGACACTGGTATAAGGTGCCGGACGAGATTGATGATGTGGTGCGGTTTCTGAAGGAGAAGGCTGGATTTCTTGTTGATATATACTGTCTGTCAAGACAGTATATATCTAACTTCAATCATAGCTAATCAGCATGCTTCCACAGCATCCGGGAGTACCTTCACTCCAACCCAACGGCACGCATTTGTCTTGTAAAACCAGGACCTGTGAATTTCCTTTTCCGGCTAGTTTTGCCGTTTCTGGTATAGCCTCCCGATACGCCGTACTGTAAACATCGCTCTTGCTTTTTCTATTCAAACCAATTTGCCCAATTCGCTGGTTGATGTTTGAGAGCCTCAGGCTTCAATATGCCCCGCTCCTGATTGGCCCGCACTAGCGAGCCCACACACGAATGCCGGATAGAGGAGATCCACCCTCATCCATCTAGACAGCTACAGAATACAATAGTGAGATATGGCTCGTCCATAACCTGAAGAAGCTGCGGGATTATACCAAATCAACTGGCAAAATATTTCGCAATAATCTTGACCAGACGGGAAATGGCACTACTTTCCCGGCTACCACGGCGATGTCTGTGCTGTGGTGTTTCCCCTGCAGTATAACGGACCACATGTGTCCTGGCGTTAATGAGGCCCAGTAGTCATCTTCTGTCTCTATAATACGGGATCCGGCGCCCATGCCGCCTAGGTTGTAAATCGGTTTGCTGAAGACCCAGCACTGGTTCATGACATTGAGGAAGCCTGGGCCCGCGGCCTAAGTGCCTCCATGCTGACCTTGGATGTTAAGGGTGCATTTGACGCGGTCCTACTTGGCAGACTGATAAAACGTCTTAGAGATCAAGGATGGCCCTCTACAGTGCTCCGCTGGGTGCCAAGCTTTACCCAAGGCTGAATAGCAGCTGTATGACTGGATGGGTATCAGAGTCCACCTTTTGCAGTCCCAGCAGGCCTGCCACAGGGCTCTCCAGTCTTACCAATCCTCTTCATGCTGTACATTGAACCCATCTTCAAACTAGGCCCAACAATAACCCGCAGAGGCCGATTTGGATATGCAGATGATACCTGCCAACTAGTTGTCAGCAAGACAACACCATCAAACTGCAAGGAATCACCGCAGACTTGCTGGCATGGGGCCGAGAGGGGCTCACCTTTGATCTGATCAAAACAGAACCCCAACACTTCACCAAAGGCCGGAAGGGAAACAATCCCACCTGTATAATCCAAACCCCAAAGGGTGCAGTAGAGATTGAGCCATCCATTCTTAAAGGAGCCACACGCTGGCTGGGAATCTGGTTTGACCGGAATCTCAAATTCAGAATCCATGCCCAGACACTCGCCTCTAAGGCCAAACTGACAGCTGGTGGTATCCAAGCCCTGGCCAACACAGTACGAGGGAACAAGGCTCCCCTACTACAGCAAGCAACAATAGCCTGCATAGCCTCTGTCCTATGCTAGGAACAGGTAGACCCGCTGCGGACAAGCCCCTGGAACACCAAGGCCAAAGAGCAGCCAACCACTATACTCAAGGCCCAACACAGGGAGGAATTCTAGCGGTGGCTGGAGTTCATCCCACCACTTTCAATGGTCATCTATACAGACGGGTCCAAAGAAAAAGAAGACACAGCTGCAGGAGCTGGTTGGGTAGGCTACTGGGGAACCAGCAAGACCAAGATATTTTGTGGGCATGCAAAGCTCCCCAACCATGAGGTCTTTGACGCAGAGGCCAGAGCGGCCCTGCTAGGCCTACAAGTAGCCCTTAAGGATCCCAAAGCACAGTACTCTTCCAACATATATATCTGCCTGGACAACCTGGAAGCAGTACAACAACTCCAAAGCCAACCTAAAGGATCAAGCCAATCGACTTTCATGACCTTTCAAGAAGCCGCCCGGACATGGCCACAACTCCCAAGAACACTTGGCATACAGGCAGGCACAGTACAGGTAAAATGGGTTCCTGGACACACAGGCATTGAAGGCAACGAAGCAGCTGATAAAGAAGCCAAGATTGGTTGTCAGGCTCCCCTAGAGCTCCCCCCACCACCTGCCTCAATTGCTGCTGCCAAACGGGCAGCCAAGAGGATGCATTGGCAAGGTTTCGCCCACTACTGGTCGGATAATGCCCCCAAACGCTATAAGGACCTCAGAATAGGCCTAGAAAAACGTCCCCCGGAGCTGCTCCTCCCAAGAGCAGCCCTGGGCCGCCTCCTAGCTGCCAGGAGTAGCCATGGTGACTTTGCAGAGTACCATGAGCGCTTGAAACATGAGGACGCTCTGCTGACATGCTCATGCGGCCGCAGAAAGGAGTCATCCCACTTCTATCACTGCAGAGAGGGCCGCAAAGCAGCAGCACATCCATGGGGCCGCAAGTCAGTGACTGAGATCCTCAGCACAAAGGCCGGATTCACTGCGTTCGCAGGCTGGCTGGGAGAATCCAATTTCTATACAGATATCTGCCGACGACATTAGGCCACCAGAATCTGCCAAATTCAGGGATGTCCAGACCTCTGGTCTCTACCCCTCTCTCCAGACCCTTCCCTTCATCTTCCCCCTTTTCTCCATATGCTCAATTCGCTGGTCGACAGCCATGAAAACCCAAGCAGCCCCCCCGCGCGGGGGGCTACCTGTATATAGATGATAGATGGTAGTTTAGCTGGGTGTGTGTGTGTTCTATTTAACGTCGGGGGGAGGGGTGTAGTTTAGCTGGGTGACAAGCGGTTCTGATCTGCCCATCGTATGTCCCGCACCGGGACCAGGGCTTCTCCGCGCCCGAGGTCTCTAATCCAAGGATGCGTGGAAAGACCCGAACCTCGACGTAAAATAGAAACACACACACTACTACTACTACTACTGCCGAGCTTAGTGGGCACCGGTGAGCTGACCTGTAACCTGTGCACCATACACCCAGGAGTATACCATGCCTTCTCGTATATCAGACTGGTCTCTTGCATCTTGCTTTGCTCATTCAATGTTTTGCCAAAGTCCAAATTCTAGACTCGTAATATGAAGTGTCCTTGGAATTAATTTGGTTCATCCCTACTGAGCTATTTGATCTCAAAGCCAGGGCATTCAATATGTCTTTTCGCATGAAATTCGAAAATGCTTCTGGCCGTCAACAGAGGAAGACGCCAGAATACTGGCCGGATCTCGAGATTCTTCATATGCTACCATCCAGAAATGATGGTCTTTTCGGTTCACGATTTAACCCCACAAGCCGGCTGTTGTTTTCGAGTACATGAATTCTCCGTCGGTTTACTCTTTTGGGATAGCCGAATGAAACATGAAGCTCATAGGTTAAAACGCGGGGGTTCCGCACAGAAGCCAAGGCCATTAGCCCGAGAATGGGGGGAAAGGACATAGACTTGGAGATAGTAATCGAGGAGGAGGACGTCTTATTTAAAATATATTTCATTTCGTGCAGCGAACAAGAAGAACACACGTCCTTGGAAATAATCAAGATCGATATCGATATCAAAATGCCCCAACTACCTCGCTACGAGTATACCGGTCCCGTGGATTGCAGCATTCCACCAAATAGGGCCGTCCTGAAGGATAAAAGTGTTATTGTGACTGGTGGTATGTGTCCTGCCATTCCCAAGTTGATTTAATATTCTGTCTAATAGCACCTATAGGTGCCAATGGCATGGGCGAGGCAACGGTGCGCGCCTTCGCGGCAGAAGGGTATGCATGCCTAGGGTGAAAGAAAATCATACTAGGCCGAGACAGCTAATAGTAATGTCGATTACTTCCAACTTCAGGGCATACGTTACAATTGCCGATCTTGACGAGACTCGAGGAAAGGAGATAGCAGAGGAGCTGAGCCCGTTCGTTGACCAAAACACCTTCCAGAAAGCCATTCATGTAGGTACTGATATGTTCCAGGAATGCCCAGTTTGTGAAATGCAACATCATTTCCTGGAACGACCAGGCCGAAATGTTTGAAGCTGCCATTGCAAACTCTCCTCGCAAAGGTTGTGACATTGTTATCGCCAACGCTGGTATTAGTCGTGCTTTCGGTGACGACCTGTGGCCTTTGGATGGTAATATTGCCGATTCTATATACCCTGTTTGTATGATTTACTCAAGTTCTTATGCACTGCAATGCATAGATCCCAACGAGCCCCCTGTCAAGCCAAATCTCAACATTGTCAATGTCAATTTAATTGGCACAATGTACACCTGGAAGCTGGCGGTTCACTACTTTCGGAAGCAGCCCGACACTGAGGACCGGGATCGGTGCTTTATCATTACTGGAAGTATGGTCTCGTGGATTGATTCTCCGGTAAGTTGCATCCAGCCTTCTCTTGAACCATAGACTATTAAAGACTAAGGCATTTCTCGTATAAGGCAAACTGGCAATATACCAGTAGTAAATATGGACTGAGAGGTCTGATGAGAACGGCCCGCCGAAATTCTCACGAGCAAGGTATTCGAATCAACTATGTTGCTCCATGGTATACTCCTCTCCCCATCATATTAATTGAATTAGTCCCTCCTAATTTGACATAGCTATATCAAGAGCGCAATTCGTTCCGCCGCATATGAGGCCCAACTCATCTCCAAAGGCGTTGAGTTTGCAGCCCAGGAAGATGTGGCTCTGTGCATGATGAGACTGGCAACCGACAGAACAATCAATGGTATGCATTTTACATTATTGAAACCAATTAGCTACTCTATAGTACTGACTCAGATCTACTATATCACAGGCCACTCTCTGATGATCACACCGAAATCTGTTGCCAAAGAGGGTTTCAGGGATGTGGGAATGGATGATCATATCGAGGAGGGGTATTTCAAACGTAACCAGGAAGTTCAGCTCAGCATTATTGAGGATAGATGGGAGCCGGGTTGGAGTAAATGGAGGACTGCGGAGGGCGCTTCCAGGTCATGATAGAAGTCTAGGGCTTGCATATAGCATGGAATACTCTTGTGTATTTAACAACGGTTGCTTTCCAGAATTGCCTGGTAAATATTTCTCAAGATATTCTATTGCCCCATGGCTTAGTCCGACTTGATTTCAAATGGACCAGGCACTGGATTTGCCAGCGCCCATGCAATGCCGTTGCTCATCACTTCATCCCACTTCTTGCTTGCGGACAGTTTGCCTCCATACCGCCTGAATCCATGAGGTACACCGCGGAAGACATGAACATTGGTAGGTATACTAGATAAAATGATTGTTTTAGAAAATATCCTTCTAGGGTAGAATGTCCAAAGTACTCACCCATTTTCACTAAGCAGCTTTCCATAGAACAGACCCTCATCTCTCAATGGATCATTTCCTGCAATTCCAAAGGTAGTAGGAGGCAGATCCTTGACTTCATCTGTAGTCGCATTGCCGGGATTCATTTGGCGATCTTCTCTGGCATCCTTGGCATCGTATAACCCAAGTAGCTTGTTAAACAATTGCAGCCGACTACTCGGCAAAATGGGTGCTTCGGCACATTGCACGTAGCTTGACAACTCAGGACTCCTAAGCTTCTCCTTTCGTGGTGCATAGTGATCCAATAGAACAAGACAAGGAATCATCAGCACCTGTCCCGCGATCTTGGGACAATCTGCTAAGCGCTTATCCTTGCCACTCAGCTGAGCCAGCGTCAACGATGCAGTCATCCATGCTCCAGCTGAAATGCCGCCCACAACAAGCTGCTCGCTGATTCCGCCAATATCGGAAATGTGCTCGTGTACCCAGATGAAGGCGTCCTCGACGTCGTTCCAAGCGGTGGGGTAGCGATACTCTGGGGTGTGCCGGTAATTCACATTGAAGACTACAACGGGACTACCATGCTCAGCGCGCGAAGCGACAATGCGCGAGCAGGCTGCGTCCTCAGAAGAAAGGGTCCCAAAGAGAAACCCTCCGCCATGAAGATGGATGTACACAGGTAGACGCTCGGAGATTGGGACGCCGGCGGGGCGGTAAGTGCGCGCTTCGAGGGTTGCGCCGTCACGGGCTATGACTATGTGATCGTGGATTTGGACCTTGGAGCTGAGGCCTTGGTGGATCATGTCTTGTGTGGAAGTTTCCTCGCGGCTTTTGTTCAACAGTGCCTTCAGTTCTTCCACTGACAGGTTCTTGGGTGGCTGAGGCAGCGTTGGCTCGAGAGCAAGCCATTCTGGGCTGGGGCCCGTGTATTCAGAGAAGTCGGCCATTCTTGTCGTGGATGTATGTGAGCAGTGTAGAAGATGAAAGATTAGCACAATTCTCACCGAGGCATGTACTAATACCCCACAGGGAACCACCTCGGTTCGGCTGCTACCAACCGACTCAACGCGTTCGGTAATTACCCCACATGAAAATCAGACTAATTACGGCAAATGTTTATATAGATAATGCGTGACTCTTTTGATTTCTGGCAGGATAACAATTGAAACCCTCGGTTCGAGAACAAGCCAACTATGGATCCCGGGATTCCCTCCAATCCTCCTTCGCGCTCCTTGGCCGGAAAGGCTGCTATCGTGACAGGTGCAGGCTGCCTAGGTGATGGAATTGGAAATGGGCGCGCGATTTCAATCCTCCTTGCCGACGATGGCTGCGACGTGATTTGCGTCGACCTCAACTTGGAGTGGGCCAACAAGACTGTGGAGATAATAAAGTCCAAACCTGGTCGTGGACAGGCACTTGCATTTCGAGCAGATGTTACATCGGCAAAAGACTGTGAAGCGGCGATACGATATGCGATTGAAGAGTTTGGGCGACTGGATATCCTAGTGAACAATGTCGGAATTGGCGGCGCAGCGGGTACTGCAGTGGAGGTTGATATAGCACAATGGGCGAGTGGTATGGAGATCAATGTTGCCAGTATGGTACAGATGAGCAAGTACGCCATTCCGGCTATGATCCGGAATAACGGTAAGATTAAAGGGAGCATCGTGAATATGGGGAGTGTCGCTGGCTTGAAGGGCGGTACACCTCATCTGCTGTATCCGACTTCCAAGGGTGCCATAGTCAACATGACTCGTGCCATGGCGGCGCATCATTCCCCTGAAGGAATTCGCGTGAATTGCGTGTGTCCCGGTGTACGTTACGCTAATTCCTGATCTCTTTGCCTTGGGAACTGAAGCTGATCACCCAGTAGATGCTGTATACGCCCATGATGTATGGAAACGGCATGAGCGAAGAGGCCCGGGAGGCTCGTCAAAAACGAAGTTTGCTAGGAACTGAAGGAAATGGGTGGGATTGTGCTGGCGCTGTGGTATTTCTGGCTGGTCCTCATGCTCGGTGGATGACAGGAGTGATTCTCCCTGTTGATGCAGGAACAACGGCTGCGGTGGGAATCGGGATGACCAAGAGTGCGAGTGTTAATGCGTAGCCTGGATTATTTTTATACAGGTTTGAAATTGGAGTAAATTGACATTTAAGATTGCAACTATATGCGCAGACCTGAAGATACTGGAAAGATTATGATCTAGGATACATGAATGCCCTATGATAATTCGACCATCTCAGGCACGATCTGACACCAAAGCTATCCGGTCCTTTATCTTGCCATCTCCCAGATCTTTAAGGACCTTTGGAAAATCCTGCAACTTGCCCAATTCCACTTGGGGCTGGATGACTTCCTTGGCAATCAGGTCAAGCACTTCCACCAGATCCGACTGCTGTCCACCGTAGGTGAATATAATGCTCAGTCTCTTGCGGATGCCGATTTTCATGTCCAGTTCATTCGTGCGGTCGAGAGTCCCTACACACAGGATTTTGCCTCCAGGACGAACTGATGGATATTAGCGAAACGATGTCATAAGCAAAAAAGAAAACTCACCGATTTGCTGTGCATCTTGAAAAGTTTGATGCTTTCCTACAAATTCCAATATGGTATCAATCTTTCCCTGTAAGCAATTTTCCTTGACAAAATCCTGCACTGACTTTCCAATAGGAATGATATCCTCCCGTGGAACACCCAGCTTCAGAGCAGCATCTAGCTTTTCCTGTCGCAGATCAGATACAATGACTCGAGAACCAATAGCTTTCACTATCTGCAGTGCATTGAAGCCAAGCCCCCCAAGACCAAAAAGAAAAGTTGTCTCTTCTTTCTTGACCTTAGCACGGCGGGTTATACCGTGATAGGCCGTGTTGACGGCATCTGTCGCGACTGCAGCTACAGCTGGAGGGACACCTATAGCCGGTATAAGGATCTGCAATTCACTTTTCTTATTGAGAGTGAGAGACGTACCATCTGGTAATGGAATCGCGGCACGAACATCGACCGCAACGTACTCAGCATAAAACCCGTCCTGACCAATCCCATGGTGCTTGCTACCCGGGCATAGTTGTGGTATATCGCGTGAACATTCAGTACAGATATCTAAGCCGCATCCAGGTACAGCAAGAAGAGCCACTTTATCCCCCTAAGTGTATGTGTTAGTGCTGTCTGAAGTATGAGGAATTGGGGAAGAATCGTACCAACTTGAATCTTTGATCTGTCACTTGCCCCCCAATTTCTATAATTTCACCACATCCTTCGTGACCCTGACACACCAGATTAGATGTATGTTAATTGACAGAGGTTTGCTGAAAACAAAACATAGGGCCCATACCAGGATGTACTTCTCATTGAAATGTGGCCGGTCTTCAATGTCCAGAAGAGGCTGATCACTATGACATACTGCCATGAATGGGAATGTCAGACTCAAGGGTCTCAGAAAGCATGTAAAGAAACTGATTGTTTAGGTCTGCAAGGTCAGGTAAAATACCTCCTGATGCCAATAGCTTGACCAGAAACCCACTCACGGGGGTCGAGGGTACAGGAAGCTCTTCCCAAACCTAGGTTTGCGTCAGAAACACCAATTTATGATGGATAGGTGCACAAATATTTTGTTAGGATATTTTTACACCTACTGGATTTGGATTCCCTTTATGCTTCCTCCAGGCATGCATTGTGGATGGAGACGTCATGCTTCCCATGGTTGTAGGATAGATAGATATGTGCTATAGCTGGCGAAAAGAATTCTTCAGTCATCAAAGCTACAATGGAAGCACTTTATTGAACTAATACGGAATATTCCCATGGAATATATATCTGGTTTAAGTTGGCTAAGTCCCAAAAGGGAAAGCCGATGTGCACGGCTTCGCTTCCCCTCATTCGGGCCGGGCTAATACCGCAAAGGTCAATGGAAATGATGAAATGGTAATATCTGACAGTGAAAGCTCGAGTGTAGGAAATACATGCACAGTAGTGTAATAGCAGAGAAGCAATTGGAAATCCATATTTATCAACAATATGGAGATTTATCAGCAGTCTCAACATAGAAAGACAAATCATTACCCTCCGTCATCTCAAATTCGGTGAACCCATTCCCCATAAACCGAAACGGATTAGCACTGTTATACTCAATCTCGAAGTCTTCAGGGCGAATATCACTGATAAGCCGCTGAAACAAGATTGCACTGCCGCCAAACAGTGCAGTAACTCGGCCATCCACACGGTTTCGCTTATACCAACTCTTACAGCCACCAGTCCAGACCAAGGTCTTATGAATCTCGTCGCCATATCTCCCGAATGCGTCCTCAATTGATTGCTTCGGGACAATGTACTTTATGTCCTCGGTTGCAATTTTCTTGATCCATTTCACAAAGTAGTCGCCCGTCCAATTGAGAGACTCGACTAGAGAGCCGTGTCCGCCTAGACAGTTGGGTCCCATCATAATGAAATAGTTGGGGAAGCTAGACGTTGAAACAGAAAGATAGGAATTTGGCTCATCTTCCCATTTATCTGCTAAGTTGGTCCCGCTCTGGCCGACAATCGGGTAGTGAGGGCGATGGGAGACGTCGAAACCGGTAGCACAGATTACTGGGCAAAGTAAGTGGTCAATTTTATATTGAGAAAGATCTTTGAAAGAACAAACATACCGACATCGCATTCGAAGACATTTCCATCCGCCGTGTGTACAGCGTTTTCGGTGATTTTGGTGATAGGGCTATTACTGAGGTTGCAATTTGGTCTTGCGAAGGATTCCAGGTACCCCGGTCCAGGGGTGACACGGCGACAACCAACCTCCCATTTCGGAATCAGCTTTTCGCAGAGATCGGGGTCATAATTAAGCTTCTCAGCCATTTGCTGTGTGCCAAACCGAACGGCTGCCTCGTTGTTCTCGCCTTTGATGAACTATATCCGGCAATCATTAGACGTGCACTGTTTGTGGGCTCTGACAGAAACATACCAGACGGAAAGCTCTATTGGTTCGTGAGATTATACCCTTTCTGTACTCTTTGTGGGCCTCCGGGTCTCTGAATTGTTGCCTCTCTTCCTCCGAGTAGGCAGGATTGGCATCTTCCACATCCCGTCCCAGGTGCTTCGACGGGGGTACGCGATAGTATACCCATGCTGGGCTCCGCATGTAGTTGATTACCTCTGTTCCGGGAAGCTTTGCCATTTGTGGCGTGATCTGAATGCCTGAAGAGCCATTGCCGATAACGGCAATGCGCTTGTGGGAGTAGTCATAGTCATGGTCCCAATGCGCTGAATGGGTTATATGGCCTTTGAAATCAGAGACACCGGGAATATCAGGCCATGAGGGGTGGCTGCAAATTGGATTAGCTCGATGTTTTCTCTCTCCAGAACGCAGGGAGGTGGATGAACATACACCAGTACACCTTGTGCCGAGATAAGAATATCGCAGTATTCTTCGCGCTTGTTGCCCTCATGCTCGATAGTCAACCTCCAGCGTCCATTATCCTCTTCCCAATAGGCACCAGCCACTTTCGTGTTGAGCTGAAGATCTCGGTCCAAGTTCCATTTCTTCACTGTCCGCTTGATATACGCCTGGATCTCCTCCCCGCCAGAGTAAAACCGGCTCCAATCGGGATTTGGGTCGAACGGAAACGCATAGATGTGCGAAGGGACATCGCACTGTACACCAGGATACGAGTTGATCAACCAGGTGCCACCGACATCGCTTCGCGCTTCATAGAGAGTGTGGTCCACGAATTCTTGCAACTCAGGAAATCGGTGCTGGAATTTGTGTGCCATTAAAAGACCAGAGAAGCCCGCTCCGACGGTGACGACGCGCAGCTTGCGGGGCTTATATGCGTAGTCTGTTTTCAATGGAACGGAATGGCTCTTCGATGAATGTGTACCATTCTGGCCGTTGACAGCCGTCTTCGCGGTGTTAACTCCGTTTGCCCCGGGCACTTCAGGCACTTCTCCATCTACCGGTGCTGGCACGGAAACTGTCATTGTGATATTGGTCTTGATTGAGGGGGAAAAGACACGACAGTTGATATTTGATTGCAAGAAAGCTAAAAATCCACGTCCAGGGACTCTATGCCGTTTTGCTTTTCTCAGCGTCGGACTTTATATTGAAAAAAGAAACCATTGATAGATAATACGTATTACGGAAATCCTGCTGCGAAGGATAAGTCTCCGAATTTGGAAATCAGTTAACTAGACAGACCCCGGCCTCCAAGTTGCCGAAGCCAGGATATGCATATGACTGTCGGTGGTTTTGACATTGTTGGTATGTCACGCTCACAGAATATGGGATTTGTGCCCACGGAATGATACCATGCCAAATACCGGCCCAAGACAAGGCTAAAGTAGGACCAATACCGGCGGTTTACTACCGGTAAGAAATGCACAGTTCGCCTACAAGGCCGAGCTGTCGAAGATGTCAATCAGTAATTACTTGGCTAATAAAGGAAATTGCGGGGAAGCTTTCCCCGCATTTCTGGCAAGGATGCCTGTATCAACATTGTCCAGTATATGGTGTAGTACTCTGGGTTTTCTTGTAGTTGGAATATCGTCTTCTTCGAAAACGGAAATCTGATATTTGTGACTATGTCGGCACCGTCTTGGTTGCCATTTACGGGCCATCAGCCTAAACGGAGGCGAGCAGAACTTGCCTGTGTCGCATGTCACAGCAAAAAGGTATTTTTTTTTTCTCTACGGCTTCGATAAGCAAGTAGTGAGTGACGCCTGCAGATTAGATGCGACCTACAAGCGCGAAGTAGTCAGGGCTATAGTAACTGCAGCAAGTGCGAAGCTACCGGCAAAGACTGCCGGTTGGGTTATCCCGAATGTGTTCCTTCACCGAGCTCGTACTTACCGATTTTCCTAGGACGAGACCATCAAGACGAGGTCGGCCTTCTGCAGCAAATGCGTCACCATTGACGCCGCCGGATAGCAATAACAATTGCAGTGATCAAACAAACCACCCCCGACGCCAGAGCCTGCTCGCCGATCCTCCCGTCCAGGATCAAACATCTCTATCCTCTGGACAAGACGGACTGTCCAACCTCGCCGGGGATTTCCCCGGCTTATCCAAGAATAGTGGACCGCTGGAACTTCCCCGAGATTTGCTCCAGCCGGCGGCAAATGGCGAGCAAACGAGAAACAAGAATTTCCACAACATCGGATGGTCGTCGATCAATGACCCATCTTCGGGCCAAGCGCTCCCAGAACCCCAGAGCAAGCCTCGGCAAGCGATGACCAATGATTCACCAACGACTCAACGAACGGAAGACCACTCGGAGCATAATGATAGCTACCCAGTGGGCCATGTATTTCTACCCGAGCTACAGACAAATGCTCGAGACCAGGAGCGGCTCATTGCTGAAAGACCATCTGAAGTGCCCCGTTTGCCTGATCCAGACCTGCAGCAGACATTCGCAGAGACATACTGGGAATACTGCTACCCATGGTGCCCCGTGCTGGACCGAGACACACTTTTAGAAGAGCTCGCACGGTCTCCGCTACTGGTGAACGCCCTGGCAGTGGTTGGCAGCCATATTAAACCACCCATGATCCCGCATGATGGACCAGCTAGCTATTATGAGCGAGCACGTATCAGGTTCTACAACGATGAAGAGGCAGACGTGATGATATCGCTCAAAGCAGTTTCTCTGTTCTATTGGTGGAGTCCGCGGCCACCAACTATTCTCCATCGTCATTCTTCCTGGTGGTGGACCTCGGTTGTCATTCGGCATTGTCAACAGCTCGGCGTGCATCGCGAGCCAGGTCCTGATAACCCACTCCGGCAGCAGGTTGACCTCAATCTACGACGTCGGATATGGTGGACCGCATTTGCGCGTGAGCGTCTGACTGCTCTATGCCAAAGCAAGCCGTGTATCATTGACCCAGAAGATTGCACGCTCTCGGAGCCGACGTTAGAAGACTTCTCAGGGGCCCCGGACAAAGTGAAGGCCGAGGTATTCATATACTGGGTACGCCTGTGCGCCATAATTGGCGATATTGCAAAATACCTCGCGCGTACCAGCGACTCTGGAGTATCGGCATTCCCAGCACATTTAGCCCGCGAGCTCATCCAGTGGGTGCAGTCGCTTCCTCCCCATCTGCAGCTGCCAATTGGATCAGATCGCACAACCCAATTCAACAGGGATGTGCATCAACTTCATCTTCCGTATCTTGCTGTGATTATCATCATTCACCTTCAGCGCTCATCCTACTCACAGCCCTTACCACAAGCTTATCCACCCGCAATCCTGGCTGCCACATGCATGGCTCGTATCATGCGGGACATCCTATCTCGCGGAGGAACCAGATTCCTCATGGCCATAACAGGCTGGTATTGCGGCACGGCGTTCATCGCGCTGCTGCAAGCCCTTAGAATAGAAGGTTTAGCCAAAGATGCCAATCAAGACCTAGACATCTTGACTTTGGCCGTGGATCAGCTTCGAGTCATGTGGCCTACTGCTGCGGTCTTCTACTCTGGGTTTGGACGCTTGCGGCCTAGTTGTACTGCACCGGAATTTGACTCGCAACGTACACCTGGTCCAGAGCTAGGCATGGGGGATGGGACTGTGTACATGGAGATGACGGATGGTATTGACTGGACTACTTATTTTCCGTTTGCAACACCGCGAACCAGTGGGATTGCTGGCAGACTGTTGGTCCCGCATACTGAGGAGCTCTTTTTTGATGATTATGCCTTTGCCGATACTATGCTTCAGTTTCAAGATCTACTTGAGCATTGCGATTCCACCTCCGGGAGTAATCTTTTTATGTAACATAATGCCAGAGATATTCAGCGTCATGTCACTGTGCTGAGCCCTACGGGTAAATATAGCTTCTCCAATCGCCTCAAAGTATGGGAATCAAATAACTCATGATAAATAATTTGCAAAGTCAACTTTACTTTACCAAATACACGGCCAAATCCTTTAACAATCATGCAAGTACCAAATCCTCATAATGCCTCATGACCACATCTTCAGCGCACTTTCGATAGCCCGGCGCCGGACCCTGATACCGAGCAATAATCCTCTCCTGCTTGTGAGCCAAATTCTTATTCACACCAGTCATCCATGAATCAACATCATTAGCAAGCAGTCCCACCGCACAAGTATGGACATGCTCCGTCCAATCCAGAACACCCTGCAGCGTCGTCTCAGCAAAGGTAATGCCCCGGTTTCGACAGAATTCAATAAACCGTGCCACCCAGCTGGCCGCATACTCAATGCTGCGAGGAATATTTCCAAACATCTGGTGCGGACCCATAACCATCATCATATTGGGAAAGCTCTTGACGAATAGACCCAAGAAAGTGCGTGGGCCCTCGCTCCACCGGTCTTTCAGCTTAACTCCGTCCACACCCTGGAAATCTATCGCGGTGAATGACCCGGTTACAGCGTCAAATCCCGTAGCGTAAATAATCATATCGAAATCAAAGGACTCGTCCCTCGTCCGGATGCCAGTTTCGGTGACGCATTCAATTGGATTCGACTTGACATCCACTAGCCGCACGTTGGGCCGGTTGTATGCCTCAAAGTAGCCTGACTCCAGGGGCACACGTTTCGTCCCAAAGCCATGGCACTTAGGGATGAGGGTTTCCGCAGTGACAGGGTCTTTTACGCGCTGACGAATCTTGTTTGCGACAAACTCGCTGAAGAGGGCATTTGACTCTTTGTTTGTGTTGATATCACCGAAATTACTGAGCCATTTGGCAAAGCCGCGTTGCCTATATAGGTCTTCCCAGAATGCTTCGCGCTCTTCCGGGCTCACATCTAGGGCACTTCGCTTGTCGGACATGTGCATGAAGCAGGACCAGGACTCGGAGCATTTTCTGAATATCTCGGGGTAGCGAGTTCGGATCTCGTTCATTTCCTCCGGGGAGAGGGGTGCATTTCGTAGAGGCAGGCTCCAGTTCGGAGTTCGTTGGAAGACAGTCAGGTGGCCCACTGTCTTGACAATCTCCTGGATTGCTTGGATGGCAGTGGCGCCGGTGCCGATGATAGCGACGCGCTTGTTCTCAAAATCTGCTTGCTCTTGCGGCCAGCGAGCCGTGTGGATTGCTTTTCCCTTGTAGGTTGCGACTCCGGGGATGTTGGGCATTGTGTAGTTGTTCAGAATGCCAATGCATGTAACCAGGAATCGCGAGGTATATTGCCGTCCTTGTTCATCTCTCAGCAGCCATGATTTAGTCGTGTCTTGGAAATGTGCAGCAGTAATTCGAGTATCGAACTGCATGTCGCGGCGAAGATCGAACTTGTCGCACACGAACTCGCAGTACCGTAATGTCTCGGGCTGCGAGGCAAAATGCTCGGACCAGTTCCACTCGTCGAGCACCTCTTGAGAAAATGAGAAATTGTATGAATAGCTTTCAGAATCGAATCTCGCGCCTGGATACCGGTTCCAGTACCACGTTCCTCCTACACCTCCGCCGGCCTCAAGGACTTTCGTCCGCAGGCCTAACTGTCGCATCCGATATAGTGAATAAATGCCGGAAAGTCCGGCCCCAATAATGAGGACATCATAGTCGAGGTCCTCGTTCATCTGGCTAAAGTTGGGTTCTTCGATGCTGCCCATGGTGGCTCAAGTGTAACGGCTTCTGTTGTTTAAGATAGTGTGTGAATGCTTTTCTTTTTGACCTCAGTTCATACTGGTGAGCAATATATGGCAATCCCTTATCAATAGGATAGCTTCACAGTTATGCAGCTCTCGCATTCGGCAATTATGCCACATGGCCGACAAAAGCATAGAGTAGCCGATTGTAGACAAAAGACGATATGCGGGGGTGGAGAGGTCTTAGAGCACAGCCGGTATCCGCTTGTATGAAGCCGAGATGAAAGGCAGCAATCGGGACATTATGAATGCTCGGATTTGTATATCTCTTTCTAACCGAAAGGTTAACAAACTAAATGGGATTTCATTGAGTGTGCACAGTGCGTCAGCATGAATTGAACGGATAGAAGTGGATATTCGGCGATTCAGTTGATTGATCAGCAGGTGAAAATGTATGGCTAGGTAAGAAACCCGAATAATGTACAGATGTTTATGAGGAACACATTGGATATTTTCTTTTTCATCGGCCAGGGAGTCGCTATAACCACTCAGTCGTGGTTAGACTTGTCGCAGTAGACCTTCATTTGAGCCGTCTGAATACCCCTTCTGTACAGCAACTTGCCCCATGCTTTCTACTTAGATCCAATTGAATCCTCATATAACTCCATTAGATTTCCAATAAACCTCGGCATCCTTCAAAAAAGCCCACTTAACATCCTTTGCCCAACCCCTCTCCATCCACGAATTCAAACTCCTTGGAAAATGGTCCACCGCATCCCTGACCGTAGCATCGTGGGCGATAATAACAAACACATCCTCCCTACAATCTGCCTCCTGCAACTTCCCAATCGTCTCAATGATCAGCGGGATGTCATGTCCAAAAGTGGGCGTGAAGAGCGGATCAGTGACGCTCCGGCCGCGCGATTGCTGGAGCTCTTCAAATGCCCCGCCGGGACAAAACGCGACCTTGCTGTCTGGATTGCATGGGTGGGGATGTATAGGCTCTGGTACGGGGAGGTATTTGGATGGCCGGAAAATGCCTCCGTAGTGGCAGATGTCACCGCCAAGGAAGATGAATGTGTCGGGGCTAGTTGTTGTCCGGGCTAGGCCGCAGAGATGTCCGATTGCATGGCCTGGACTGTCGAGGAGATAGAAGGATCCGTCGTTGAAGTAGTCGAAGGCTTGGAATCGGCCGATTGTTAGGCAATTGGGACCCTCGAAAGTTATCTCACGAAGGTTTCTTCCTCTGTTGAAGTTAGTAATTTCGCCGAGACAGGATGGGGAGGGTTCCGGGAACTCACGAGTAATCGGATTCGCTCAGAGGAGAGTCGGGGTTTGTGGGTGCGCCTGGCAACATAGCTATTTTGAATCCGGGTCCTACTATCAAGTCTGTCGAGAGGGGAAATGTAGATGGGTCTCCAATGTGATCCCAATGCCAATGACTATGGGAAGTAAGTTAGTGTTGGAGATGTGAGAGCCAGTCCTCGAAAACTCTACCTCCAGATCACTGCTTCGACATCCCCAGCCTTGATCCCATCTTCCTCAAGTATATCAACGACATTCTTTGTCACTTCGATCTTATATTTTGTCGTGGGAATGTATTCAGCGATCTTCGGCGCATAGTTTAGGTAGTCCTTGCGAATACCCAGGTCGAAGACCACTTTGCGGCCAGAGGGATGTTCCAAAAGGAACGAGAATGACGGGTTGCTGGGATGCGTTTCCATTCCTGGTACTGGTGGCCCCATGAACCTATGAAGCTGGGCAGGTCCGAAATTCACCGGGTTAATGAGCTTGACAGTGATTTCCTGCCCAGGAGGCACTTGGAATGGGGGGAATTCCATCATTGCTGGAGCGTGAGACTTATCGCAATGCATACAGTTCAAGAACAAAGATAACTGGATATTAAGGTAATTATGAGCCCTCCCCAATTGCGTCTGACATGGTTTTAGCTCTCCCCGCGTTTTCCCCGGATTTCCCCGGATTTCCCCATATAAAGTGTAATTACCGGCAATGAACCAGATGACCTTCGGCTTCAAAATCTAGTCCTTCGGTTACAGTCATGAGCTTATTCCAAGTGCTCTGATGAAATCTTTCCCAAACCGAACTCCACAACAAGAGTTGGGAAAGCAAAAACGATTCTGTCATTGCTAGTCTCCACCCCCGGATTCATGCCCCTAACATCCGGCGTAAAATGCAAAAGGAGACAGATAGCTCTCGGCACATAGTCCTGTGACAGTAAGGTTGAAAGCCAGAGATGTTTATCTTAGGGGGTTCTACTCCTATAAAACCTCTAGCTGCTTCCAGACCCTCTTGAGGGCTACCCATATGTCCTATTGAAGTGTTCATCAGCATACTATTTCTGGTCCTGTGGACCGGTACCATTACAAAATGACTGTCCTTGACAATTCGCAGGAAGATGGTCTCTCAGTGAAGGCCATGAGCTCTTGTTCCAATATTCCCGAGATCGAGAAGGCCGCTACCGTCGATACGGTGCACCATGATGAAGCAATCAAGGTTCTCGCCAATTACAGCGGTGATGACACCTGGACTGAGGAGGAAGAAAAAAAGTTGCTCCGCAGAATTGATTGGAGTTTGATGCCAATCCTGTGCGTGACCTACGGGTTGCAGTATTACGATAAGGCGATGTTCTCGCAAGCTGTACATGCCTTCCAATGCTCTTTTGGTACAACTGCTCTAACTAACATGTACTAGGCACTGTTTGGTTTGCGTACAGATTTGGACCTCGATATTGGGAACCGATACTCTTTCTCTGCTGCAATCTTGTATCTGGGGTTCATGGTGGGAGCTTATCCCGCCATGACCCTAGCACAAAGATTCCCGATTGAGCGCGTTGCCTCAGTCATTATCACACTCTGGGGTATCTGTCTCATCTTGACCCCGATGTGCTTCAATTATAGATCACTATATACACAACGGTTCTTCCTGGGCCTGTTGGAGAGCGGCATCAGTCCGATGTTCATGCTCATAGTTGTATGTCAACAGCTGAACAAGACATGACTGCATCAGAACACACACTAACCAAAAATCACAGGGCGGTTGGTACAAAAAGAACGAACAAGCTATGAGAATGGGGTCCGTATCACTCATTCTTTTCCATGCCTAATCCCATCCTCCCTCGATTCTAACACGCTCCAGAGTGTGGTACTGCTGCACAGGCTACGTCTCCGTTTTCTCCCCACTTGTAAACTACGGGATCGGCCATATCAGAGGCTCTCTCTCCCCTTGGAAATACATGTACTTCGTCGCCGGTGCAGTAACAATAGTCTGGGGCCTAATCCTCGTCTTCCTCCTACCCCCGGACCCAATCCAAGCCAGGGGCTTCAACGAACGCCAGCGATACATCGCTGTCGCCCGGCTCCGGGTTAACAACTCTGGAGTGCGAAACACGCACTACAAAAAGGGACAGGTGGTTGAATTACTAGCAGACCTGAGATTCTGGCTGATTTTTTTCGTTGCGTTCCTAAGCATGATTGCCAATGGACCGATTTCTACCTTTACTCCTATCATTATTAACTCGTTTGGGTTTGATACGCTCAATTCATTGCTGTTGGTTATGCCGCAGGGTTTCCTGGCTGGGTCTTATCAGCTCCTTGCGCCGTATCTTGCGTACCGGTTTGCGCATAGAGGCGCGAGGTCTTGGATTGTTTTCTCGGCTCAGATGATTACTACCCTTGCTGCATTATTGTTAGTTGTTCTCCCTCTGGATGCTACCGGTGGCATGCTCTTTGCGTGCTATATTCTTCCTGCTACTGGTGGTGGATACGCTGTTCTTATGGGGTTGCAGGTTGCCAATGTTGCTGGGTACACGAAACGTTCAGTTGCATCAGCGGGTTTGTATATTGGGTACTGTCTTGGTAAGCCTTTTTGATTTGTGCTACGATGATTGATAATTGTGCCGAAACTGAATTATTATTCTAGGGAATTTCACCGGTCCGCTGATTTTCGAAGAGAAAGATACCCCGCGCTACGTGCCGGGCTTTATTACTGTGGTCGTGACCTCTTTCGTTGCCGGTGTCACTGTACTTATCTACCGGTTTGTGTGTGCCTGGGAGAACCGGAAACGAGATCGGTCTGGTACTCCGGAGGGATACGAGAATGCGTACCAGGATGATTTCACTGATAAAACGGTGAGTTGGATCGTGGATCTTAGTTAGGCTGTTGCTAATTGTGTTACTTTCGATTAGAACCCCCAATTTCGATACATTCTGTAAAAGCCCCAAGGTGGAGGACCCTCCATAGCACAATAATCAAACGACCATTCAGAAATACTATCATCACAAGGCTCAACTGTAAAGGACCAGGCTCCTTAGTTGCCTGTACAGCCATTCTACTATAAGCAGTGGTTGCGTGGTGTGGTGTGTTGACTACTTGTTGACTTATGAGATAGCGTCTCTACAGCTTTTGAAGTATACCATACCTTTTCTAATATCGGAGTATGCTTCATCTTGGTCAATTATTGTCCTTTTGATTTATTCATTGCTGTTTACATGTCCTATTGGTATTGGTTTTCTTTCCCCCATAAACTGATCTCAATCGTAGCGAACCAAAGCATAGTACCCTGCCCTTTTCATACCCGCGTTGCATTTTTTGTGTACTATTTTAATTGTACTATCGTTAATTTTAATTGTACTGCTGTTATTTTAGATTGTATTGTCGTTATCGAGGGGTACTGTCGTTATTTTTGTTGTTCGTTTGCAATGGACTGCTGTTTTTTCAATTGCATTCTTAGTTTGCATTGTACTGGTTCGTGGGTCGGAGACGAGTATGCTCGTGTCGAATCACTTGACATAAGCTCATCCTACGGCAGGTCATCGGACAACCCTGTCAAGTACCCAACGTCTTTCCTCTCGCTCTCCCACGACATTGTCATCGGCACCGGCGTGATGGTCTTAGATGTCGCGGCGCCTGTGCTCCTTGATCATAGCCTCGATCCGTGTCCACGATAATTCAAACCATCTGGTTGTCCCGGAATTTCGTGTCGAAAATGGCAGTGGTTCCCGCGAGGACAGAATAGAAAGCTTTCTTTCCTTCCATTGACTTCCCAATCGCCCAGACTGCCAGTGAAGTGCTTACACGGTATCATGGCTTGACGTGCATGGTAACGGCTGATGATCTCTCTGTGGTGGTTTTCTTCCATGGCCCAGGTGCTTGGCTTGACCACAAAGTGTATCGGCCTTCGACAGAGTGGACAGCTTTGTCGGCGCTTGAAGGGTTTCGGGTTGGCACTGCCGGACTCCATCACGTTTCTGTTGACATCTCGGATCAGAATTTTGCGACACTGAAAGGAAACAGCTGTTTATGCAACCCAAGATTGGAAGTAAATGTCATCATCAAGAGTTGATTATCTGCTCAGTATCAGCTCCATATTTTAGTCAAGTATGACAAAAATACCAAGGCTTTCAAGGCTTGCAGGAAGTTCTGTTGGCATAAACCTGCATCGATTTTTGAAGAAGCCTGGAACCCATTTGGACCATTTCATATATCTTGTCTCTTTCTTGTTCTTCTTTCACTCTCTGAAGTGGGAATTTCCCTGACATGACGGGCGCTTAGCTGCAACTTGAGGTGATGGGGGAAAGTTCCAAACGTCAAACAGTTTTGCCTGAATCATTATGGGCTGATGATCCTGTTCAACAAAAGCGCAGCGGTAAATTTCATGCCGGGCGAGATAATACGACAAGGTCCCTCATCGACCGCTCATATCGCTTTGGAATTCCAATAAAAGCGCACAGAAACGCCCCTCCTCTTTCAACTGTGAAGGAGGAACAACCAAAGGCCAAGTACCACAAGTCATATAATGTTGATCAAGCAGGATATGGGATGATTGCTTTAAAGGATGTTGAAGGATTTCCTGCTTTCCTGATAAAGAAATGCCAAATACCTTCGTCATGGACTTTCCAAGAGGCTTCGCACAAAAATCTAGTGTCATTGACAGACTTCTACACAGAATCCAGCTTGATTTGTTTAGTCCATGAGTATGTGCATCTGGCTATTCCACTAGGCGGCTTGGCAGGGATCGTGGATTTCAGTGAGGCGGATATAGCCACTGTGTGCAGGGAGATTCTAGATGGTCTCATTTATATTCATTCCAAACTCAGCATATCACACGGTTCAGTTGACTGCAGCAATGTCCTCCTAAATGAGAAAGGAGAGATACAATTGGGTGGGCAAGACCTTGCCCTAGATTTCAGTAAACGGCTAATGATATCTCTAGCAAATATTAGGGACAGTATGTTAAACAGCAACATGCTCAGCAACTGGAAGTCAGATGCAGCAGCCATTGGTTTCCTTGTGATCTGTCTCAGTGACAAAACTGCCTTGATTTTAGGAGTCGCTCCTGTGACGGCTCAACGGCTCAACGCCAGACAAACAGCGCCAACATATCAAACGATGCCATACAAGCAATATGGGCAAACAAGGGCTTGAGCCGCACCACACAAATGCCTATAAAGACCGTTCATCGCCTAGATAGATTTCCTTTTCTTCTTCTTCCCCAGATTCGATATTCTCGTCGTTAGGCTACCTAGTCTAGATATGAATACCATTCGTTTTATCTGCTAGTTTCCGAGCCCGTGACAGCTCCTTTGAAGATTGCGCTATCAAGTCCAGCTCGTGGTTTCATAGAAGGTCAAAAACGGAGTCAGCTAAGGAACTTTTGAATGTAAGATTGACCCTTCTTTTATAGTCAATTTTGAGAAAGGTGTTAACTTGTAAGGATGAATTTTTGTATCTAGCAACACCAGGAGGGCCATGGAGCCTAAAGCGACATTATTTTGACGCACTTCCTTTGAGCCTCCGGTTTGGCAGCCGAGTTTGTGAAGATAATTAAATTCCATCATGGTGCTTTCGTAAGCGGCAAATAAAATAGGTTACTGAGAACTTATCCCTAGGAGTAGACCTTGACACAGCCCGCCCGTGGGCACCTGGAGGCCGCCCGTAGCCCGCCCATCAGAGCCCGCGGGCAGGGCCATGCATTCAGATCGTTCATTGAATTTCCTAACTTGACCATGGCATTGGAAACAAATTGGCTCTTCGCGAATCGATAGGCTATGTCCTATGTCCCATCAGGCAGCAGCACATATCTTATTTCTGTAGATTCCTGCTTTACTTGGATACTGTCTTGTTTCTGTCCCCACTTCTGCGAGTGTATAACCCTGGCTGCGCACAGGTAAAGTAGTATGCAAAACAACTGATGACCCTTCAAAAATCCTGCATTTTTTTTTATCCGAGCTGGCGGCCTCAGCGAAGTCACCAAGGCGCGGGGCTTCCTCTGGGTCCCGGACGAAAGGAGTTGCTGAAAAGCTTCTTGAGCTATATAGCAAGGACTGCGACTTGATTAGCGCTTGCCTTTGACAAGAAGGGAATGAAAGAGACGAACTCATAAAGAAACTATGTACACGACAATGCTAAGCCTAGTACCAAATCTAAATGGAACTGCGTCTGGCATCAGTGCCCAGCTCATGGGTAGGGCTTGACTTGCCATCAAGTAAGGACGGTGCAGAAGCATTGAACCAGCGCTCGAACTTTGCAACTTTTTTCTCCATAGACATCTCAACCTCGATTCTCTGATTCTCGATATCATCCATGCGCTTTTGCGCTTGTTCTTCTATTTCATCCATATACCATTGTGCTTGTTCCTGTATTTCCTTCATACATTCATTGGCCGTCATGCGTACCTCGGAGTTACCATCGTCGACCTGCTCGCGAAATTCGACTTCGTTTATTTTACATCCGTCGGAGATCTGATCACGACCGTCGCTCACAGCACTATCGACGATCTCGTTGACAACAGGTGTGAGGCGGCGCTCAATCATCTCGTCGATATATTGTTTGAGCGGGCGTTCAATCCGTTCGACCTTGGCAAAGCTGACTTTTTTAGAGTTGGATGGCAGGTCACTGTCTACTTCTTCTGGGTGGGCCAGCAGATGTCGGCGCCCTGTTCGAATTAATAATTTACAGATTAGGTCATCGGAAACACCACGGAGCTCATGTTCGAGACGTGCAAGTATGTTACGGTCTGCGCGGCCAGGAGAGAAAGCACGCGTAAAGTAAGTTGGGCGGATTGATGACGGTGACGGGGAGCAAGTACTTGGTGTATCAACTTCGGCGGCAGAGCCTGGCGGTTGTGGGGATGAGAGGAGCAGTCGTTTTCGTCTTCTATTATCATCGGGTGACATTGTCCACTGGTCTAAATACTATTAACAAGCTATTTGAAGGTCAAAGTATATAACAAGATACCTCTGTACCGTTTTCCAATCACCTGCTTGGACTCAGATTCCTCAGAATATAAGGGTGGATCCACTTGCTTCACCTGCTCGGGCACAGGCTCCTCATAATGTGGGGGTGGATCGGGTGACAGACTAAAGACAGTCCAATCCCGCTCGTCCACGCCAGAGAGAGGGCGTTTAAAAGACTCTGCCTCAAAATTTTTTCTGTTCAGGGCTAAGGAGAAAGTCTTCAACCGATCAGGTTGGTCGTCCACAAATTGTCGATTAGAAAAGTGTAGACGTAGAGATTTGGATTGACAGATCTCTGCAAAGGCGTAAAAATTCATGTCTTTTGGATTGGCTGGGCTTAAATACTCCATCCCACGTGGACAAAGAACAATGCCGGTCGTACCGAGTGTCAGACTCAGTGTTGAGACGGCCCGAATATCTTGCACAGACGCCCGGAGCATGGAAACCAATCGAGGAGAACAGAGGCCGTCGTTGTTTGTCAAGGATAACGCACATTCTTCGACTCTTTTTGGAAGGATACTCAATGTCAGGTCCTGTAATGTGCCCCTCAGGTTAGCGAGATCCGCTCTAATCTTGAGGGAGATGGATCCTTTGTTAGTATTTATATCATGGAAGATACGAAGGCTTGCAGAACAAGCAACTTCAGAATCAGGTATAGAAACAAGAACCGCCTTCTTCATGACCCAGGGCGGGTCTGGAGATGTGGTCATTGTCTTGTTGCAATAATTGCTGGATTTGAAAAGAAAAACCCTTGATAAATCGAGTAGCCCGCCCACCCGGGCTTTGAAACAGCGTTGAGCAGCCCTGACTCGGGTAATATGTCAAATCAAGAATAATAACAAGATGATAGTAAAGTAGCAGAAGCTTTTACGGCCTGGTCACGAGCACACGCCCAATCCGAAATCATCAAGTGAAATCAGAGAGTCCTATGAAAACACAGGAATGGCAGGACTGGCGGCGAGATCAGTAAAGAGCAAATACTTTCTTTACGGAATGATAATGTTGTAGGGAGAAGGTGAAGGAGAGTTAGCGAGCGAGAAGGGGACAAGGGGAGTAGAAATAGGGGAGAAGAGAAAAAGGGGGAGGCCGGGGCGCGGCAAATTTAGTAGTCTGATCACGCGACCTTGGTGTCCGGATTTATGTATGTCCGCCTGTTCAAGTAGTCTTGGCTTTTTTTATCGCTTTTCATTTAATTGTCAAAGCACATCAATATCTGGCATGGGGAAAAGCCCAGTTTAGCAAGACGACTTACGTTCTTCGCTCTCCTAAAAGCAGCGTAAGATTATTTAAAGTCGTTGAACTCCCTACTCTACAGTACTCCTCGAGTTCAAGAAAATGTAAGAAAGCCTCACAAATCTTTGTTTGAACACTTAATTCCTTTGTTTGATTCGTTCCTTCTCTTTCTCAGGATTTAACCATGGCAATCTATTTATCTCTACCAATACTCGATGAACTAGTTCGGTTAGTCGAAAATGATTCTACCTATGGAAGACGCAGTAAAGGCAATGGCTTCCGGAATTCTCAACTACTATTTTCCAGCGGCCAACGGTTGGACGGTCGCTCCCGAACAAAATTGAAATGACAAATACGCCGACTTCATCATCCTTCGCATTCAGCGGCGTTTCCCTGGAGACCGAGGCGTCATTGATCACACAGTGGCTGAGGCGAAGCGTACAAGCGATGCGTTACAGGCCTCCCTGGAACAACTCGAAAATGCAGTTGAGCACGGCCTGAAAATTCTAGGAGCTTTCTGCAGAAAGTTTACATCGGCGTAATCAGAAAGGCCGATGTAAAAAATGTGAAACAAGCTGCAGAGACGGTGCCCGTGGACAATGAGACGGTTGAGTGGGACTGTCAGGACTACGTGCTGGATATTCTTGACAATTTGGAAGAAGAATTTATTGTGGACTGATGATGAGGACTATCGCGCTGCCAGGGAAATACTGAGGGAAAAGAGGGGAGTGATTTTGTAATCATACACTTGCAAGTGCAAGATATTGACTGAATAAATCCTGTTTCGATGTCACATACTCCTGGTCTCTCGCACCCGATCTAAGAGCCACCAATGAGTATAGCGTTTCGGCGAAATACAATCAGGAAGAAACAAAAACCAGTCGTTCTCGCACGAAGACAAGGAATTGGTGCACCTAACAGCTTCATAATAGTCTGGGTAAAAGCCACTATACTCCCAATCAAGAAGGCCAGTAACGACACATCGATTACAATCAACGATCTCTACCGTAATATTATCCGGCCGAAGATCTCCGTGCGTAAAAACAATATTGGGAGGAGAGGATAAGCATGGGGAAAGTTGACGAAGGAACTCCACGAATTCACTAAGTGTTTTGATCGGTTTATTACTCCGCCGAAGGTGCCTTCTGGCATCTTTGCAGCCTTCGCCAGCCATTCCTCCAAGAGGACGCCCATGTACATAGGGCAACGATCTTAATTTTGTCAAAATAGTCTCCAGCTGACCCTTGGCCGAAGCTTCCTGGTCACTATCCAAGCCATGCCATACCTCTCCAAGAGACTTCGATGGTTTGTGAGTCAGAAAAATAAGTGATATTCCACTCATTTGCACGCATCCTAGAGGCCTTGGAGCCGGGCAATCTGGTATATGTCGCTCGAGATATTGCAGGGTCGTGTACTCAGTGTAATCGTCTATATGCCGCACCGCTTTAACAACGATGTCCGCAGCACACTTGAAAACATCTTGTGAAGTGGAAATGGAGCCTTCCAGAGGACCTCGCTCGCCTGCATGACTTCAAACAAACGTTTGAGAAAGGCCATTTGGTAAAGGTTCTGCGGTCTTGGAGATGTCTTCCACAAGTCTCAGCACCTCTCGAGACAGAGGAAATAATATATGGACGGTATCTGACGGGTTGAGGGATTCTCGTATTTCTTTTTCCTTGGGTTTCGTAGATCTTTGAGATCCATTGTTGGACATCTCTACCAAGGGATGGTTGTCAATTTATGGAACCAATATTTTCTTCATTTTACTTACCAAGGACTTCTTTGCTAGTTTGCATTCTGATCAGGCGGCCGGTGTAATCGATTGGCATTTGCGTGGTCAAATCAATCTCTGGATCATGACTGACGGCAGCTTGTAGCTTTCTCGATGTATGAGCATTGAATTTTGCAGCTTTAGAAACGGATATTGTTTGACTATTTGTGTCGTCGATTTTCCTTTTTCGGTCCATTGTAAACTGTATATCGTATCCTCCCTGGGGCTGTCGGTGGATAAACAGATTTGTATAAGAACTGTAGTGTGCACATTTTCAACTCTCGCGAGGCAGATTAGCCCATATAAATGTTACTTCTGAGACAGTGATGCATGTAGCGTTCATTAGGGAAGATGCTCACCAAGCCAATGATGATCCAACAAGATGGTGCTTTGACAGTGGAGCAATGAGTATGTGTACAGGGAATAAAGAGATCTTTGAACACATGGATAAATGCCATGGAACTCTCATTATCATGAGTGGCATGCAGATGCCCATCAAGGGGTGTGGTATAGTGAAGTTCAGCCTACTGAAGGGCTCAGAAGTGAGACTGGGAAGTGTCATATGTGCCAGGACTAGAAGAGAACCTATTGTCTCTGGAGGCACTTCATCTCACTGACTTTGAATCAAACAGTTCTAAAAGAGGATATGAGATCAAGAAAGATGGAAAGGTAGTTGCAAAAGGAAAGAGAATTGGATGAACCACCTACCTTGACACAGTCAATCACATCGACGCTTTACTAGTTGATTCAAAGCGCATAAATCAACATGCTCGCTTAGCACTGTCGGCAGATGAAGAAACAGCTATGAAGCAGAGGCTGATTCATCGCCGCCTAGGCCATCCAGGAAGGAACCGATTCAACAACTGTGTTGGATGGATGGATATGGACGAGCTAAAGATCAACAAGTAAAGCATTGATGTGATTGACTGTGTCAAGGTAGGTGGTTCGTCCAA